AAAAGTAACTAAGACAAAATATATCACTTCTTGTCCAGTCAGTGTTTGTTGCCAGTCAATGCCTAACTCTTATACTTCAGAAAAAAATAGTATATGGATAGAGCCTGTATTAGTAACTTCCCCACTGCTAGGATGAAATACCTGACAACTTAAAGGCAGAGAGGCATATTTTAGGTCATGGTTTTAGTGGGTTCATTCCATGGATGGCTAACCTCCAATTATGGCATGGTATAATTGCATGGCAGAGAAGAGCTGCTCACCCTATGGTAGGAAGGTAACAGAGAAAGCTAAAGAAAGCCAGGGACAAGAATGTACCCTTCTTGTTCATGCCTCCAGTGACTTACCTCTAGCCAGGACCTACCTTCTAACAACATCAATAGATCCATCCACTGATGAGTGTAGCACTCCCATGATTCAATCAACTTCAAAAAGCCCCATTTCTGAACACATGAGGCATTGTGAGATACTTTAGATTTAAACCATAACATTCTGCCCCCCCTCCGAGCTCATATTCATTTCATTATACAAAATGCATTTTGTGCACCTCTAACAATCACCAAAGTTTAACAGCTCCAGCATTGCTGAAAAGTCCAAGTAAAGTCTTTTCTTAGACTCAGGGAAAACTCTTTCCTATGAGACCCTGTAAAATTAAAAAAAAAGTTACATATTTCCAATATACATTGACACAGGTTAAGCATTCTCATTCCAAAAGTGAGGAATAAGGAAATGGAAAGGAATCAGACAGAAAAATCTGAAAACTGGCAGGGCAAACATTAAGTCTTGTAGTTCCATGTCCAGCACTCAGGGCAAGTTATGGTGAGATTTGAACTGTAAAAGATTTGGTTTGGGCAGCCCTACCACTCTGGACTTGCTGATTGCAGCTCACATGGCTTCTCTCTTGGGCTAGCTTTTCTCTGCAGCTTTCCTCGGCTGACATTCAACATTCCACATTGCTAGCATCCCTAGTATCTCCAAATTTCTGGGGTTTCTTCTGCACCTTCAGTTTCACTCTCACAGTTTCACATATTGTTCTCTAAGGGGCACATTACCTGGCATCCCAGGCCTTCCTTTGAAATCTTAGTGGAAGCCTTCATGACCCTATAACTCTATTCTGCATGCTTGAAAAACTATTACCATGTGGGTGATGCCAAGGTCTGCTGCCAGCTTGAGTAGGAGCCAGGCCCCAATGGATCATGGCTGAAGGGGCCACTGAGTGCCTGGATGGCTGAATTCAGGGAACAGTTCCTTGGGTTGGCATGAATGAACAGAGTACCCTGGAGCTCTCTTCAAAGGAGTTTACCCTTTTACACCTTGAGCTTGTAATGGATGGGTCTGGCCTTTTCCTAACTTTCAAGGCATCTTTCCTATTGTCAGGACGCAAAGTACTTGGTTTCTTTTTAATGGCTCTATTCTTTTTTTTTTCCTTCATTGAGTTTATTGGTACATTTTAGGTATACAGTAAAGTTACATTCATTATTGGGATCTTTTACCTTTAGGCTCTATTCTTTGCAGTAACTATACTCTCTTTGGCCCCGACTTTGCATGTACTTCCTTTCTGGTCAAGTTGCAAAATTTTTGCATCTTTTCACCTCTGCTTTTGCTTCTGATTCTCACTATAGATCTGGTTAAAAGCATCCAGAAGACCCATACCAGAGCCCAAACATTGGGCTGCCTTGAAATTTCCTCTGTCCAATCAATTAGTCCACCATCTGTAATTTCAGTCTCTTGCAAAGTCTCAGGACAACGTGGGCAAAATGTAAACAATTTTTTTTTTGCCAGAGTATAACGTATGTGGCTTCTAGTCCAATTGCTAATGAGGCCCTTATTCCCAACTGAAACCTCTTGAGCTTGGCCTTTTCTATTTGCATTCCTAGTATCAGCATTCTGGTCTTCGGACCTCTGACCAGAATCATTCATCAGGCTCTTCTTACAGCATTCTAAGGCTTTTCTAGACTGCATCTCCCAACCTTTCCACACTCCTCCCACAAACCAGCTCCAGAAACTTTTGAACCACATGGTCAGGTACAATCACGTCAAAGACCTCACTTTTCCTGGTAGCAATTATCTGTGTTAGTCTTTTTTTTTTTTTTTTTTTTTTTTTTTTTTTACAGTACAAAATACCTGACACAGCTTAAATGAGTAGAGGCTTATTTTGACTCACAGTTACAGTGGGTTAAGTTCATGGTATTCTGGCTCCAAGACAGATATGACATGGTGGAAGGACATGGCGGAGGAAAGCTGCTCACTTCATGGCAACCAGGATCGGGGGGAGAAAGAAGAAGAATTAGGAGGAAAAGGAGCTAGGGATATACAAGAATATCTTTCCAGGTCATGCCCCCAGATACTTACCTCTAACTAGGCCCTGCCTCTTAACAGCACATTTAGCTATGAAAGACTCACCAATAGATCAGTTCATAGATTAGTGCCCCCATGATCAAAGAACCTTCCAAAAGATCCACCTCTGAACATATGAGAATTTTGGGGGACACTTTCAATCTAAACCCTAACAGAGCCCAATGGAGATATAGATACAGGGACAGGGTGGGATCAGTATTTCTCAAAGTGGGTTGTGGAGACTCTCTACATCAAAGTGTACTGAAGGATGTACTCTATCTATCTATCTATCTATCTTTCATTTATTTTGAAGTGTTGGGATTGAACCTTAGGACCTTGTGTATGCTAGGCAAATTATCTACCACTGAGCTATATCCTCATTCCAAGTCTGTATTTTAAATGCAGATTTTCAGGCCTTCCTTTTTTTTTAATTGAGTATTATCAGTAAAGCCTGGTAGTATGCATTTTAGACACTGGCCCCCTTCCCAAGTTGGAGATCTGGACATCCTAGGCACTTGGAGAATATCACTAGATCTCAATGAATTATTTCAAAGGGCAATGAAAGAATACATATATACAAACTCATAGGCACTGCAAATGACCTTTGAGAAATTACTAAGTATAAAAATGAGTCAGTAGTGCCCCAATTTCATATATAAGAAAATACTAGATGCCAGATGCCACAGATTTATAAGCTTGACTCTGAAAAAATTCATCTTCAAATACATAGAGTCAAAGAATTTCTAGGAAAATGACTACCAGGAAGCATCATGGGTTCAATAAAACTTTGTCTCTATTAGAAATTGTTAAACTTTACTAGGAATAGGAATTATCTGGGGAGTGTTAACACCATCTTGATACTCAATTGCCACTCAATTCCAATTACATCAGAATCTCTAGAGATGGGGTCTGGGAACCAGTATTTTTTTAACCCCCCAGAAATTGATCTAATGAGGAACAGGTTGTGCACTGGGAATTTTATGAGCTCTCTATATGACTCTAATATGCAGTAGCTTGACAACTGTAGATCTATATTATGTTAGGCAAGTTGCTTAACTTCCTTACATTTTGTGTAAATACTAGGTAAATTTAAAGGTCTCTCCCACCTTTAAACGTCTACAGTTTAAAAAAATTATGTCATGCAAACCCATTCCCTCTTTCTTTTCCTTCCTTCCTTTCTTCTCTACCTTCTTTATTTCTTCTCTCCATCATTTCTTCATCTCCTCCTTTCTTCTTCTTTCTCTTGAAGAAATGTGCTCAGAGAGTGTGAATGTAGTGGATATGTGTGACCATGAGGTGTGATCTGGAATCTAATGCCACAAGGCTTGTTTTTCCTTTAGATTTGGCTTTGTTAACATTTTTTAATCCATTTTGGTTTTTTTGAGACAGGGTCTCACTATGTAGTTGAGACTGACCTGGAACTCACTATGTAGCCCAGGCTGGTCTTGAACTCACAATGATCCTCGTGCCTCAGCCTCCCGAGTGCTGGGATTACAGGCATGAGCCACCATGCCCAGCTTTTTATCCATTTATAGATAAGAAAGAAATACCTACAAAATTTGTAAATAACCCCAAATTTAGGAGAATTAATTCAAAACAAAGAATCAGGGCTACCTCTGATCAGAAAATCTGTTTATTAAGATTATTATTGCTTTTAAATATTCCCATAGTTTAAATATTTTGGTTTTTGTTCGATGCTGAGAATTGAACTGAGGGCATCGGGCATGCAAAGCATGTACTCTGCCACTGAGCTCTGTCCTTAGCCCTATTGCTCATTTTAGTTTCCCTGTCTTCGGTTGAAACTTTGAAGCTTTTCATGTAGTAGTAATGGAAAAATGGACATGTTAGGTAGAGTCCAGAGTTAGTCGCTCTCTGTGTTCCTATCAAGAAATGAAAATGTAGTAGATCAATCGGGCTGATTTAGAACATCCCAAACTGATGAGATAGTATACAACAGAGAGGAATTTGTTGGAAGCCCGTGCAGTGATTATGGAAATGCCAATTCAGCAGCTTCACTGGGGACCTTGTGAGCATAAAAGGAGAGTTTGGAGGATCCTCAGCAGGGCCTGTGGAGCTAGTTTAAAAATGACAGTCACAAATTATGATTTCTAAATTTAGGGGAAGGTCTTGTGCCAACTTTTTGTTTTTTGAAACAAGCTTCAACTGATTGTGAGAAATATTGTCAAAAAACTCGCTTTGATTTGAATTGTGGGATAGTTGTTTAAATATGTTGTTTTTGTCTCACAGAAAGCTTCCAATTTGTGTTTTTAAAAGCCTAGATAGATTTAATTACTTTGAGTTTAAAGCCAAAACAATTAAATTATGTCAGCTCCTCCATCTTCCATTCTCTGTATTTCAATTAGAAAATTATAACTCTTACATTTCATTTTATTCTTGCTATTATTAGTGCTTAATTTTATACAGAACTTGACCTGACCTAGACATGGGGAAAGTATAATTTATATGCAGCAGAAAAACAATCTCTAACTGCTCAGTGGCTGCTGTGGTTTGAAAAATAAACCAGGATCAGATTATGTCTGGTCATTTTCCATATCACATGATGAACAGCAATTCACAAGGAGCATAAAATGTATCCTGCTGGGAAGCCCCTTGGTTCTCATGTTGTTAACTGTTGCTTTCCCTCCCTCTTCTGTTTTCCTTTTCAGAATCTGTAATTGAAGGGGATCAGCTAAGAGTGGCTCCTCAGCACAAAGAGGGTGACTTGTCACACTTCTTGGAATCAGCAGTTGAATTCTTGAACATAATATGATTTAGAAGCCATGGGCTGTGGGAATTCTTGCTTGAGCATGAGGAAGTCCGAGAGAGGTTAGTGCAAGGAATGTGCCCGTGTTTATGAATGAAAAAGAGTGAGTGAGACCCACTCACACTCACATTCTCCCCCTTTCTGATTTCCTCCCATCTTTCTCAAGCTGCCCTGTGTGATTTTGTATAAGACATCACCACTTGAACTGAAGGTGAAATACTGGGGGAACTACATGAGGAAAGATGGAGCTTTGAATTTATGATGTACTATAGTATCATCTAAGAGGTTTCTTATGTTTGATTTAATTTCAGTTAAAAATGTGCCAATATAAAATCCCAATTTATAACACCGTCATAGGGAACAAAAAAGACACTGTAAGGTATATGTGTTTCTTCAATATTTTTATAAATAGCTATATCCATATCTTTGTGACATTTAGTAGCATCATTAAATTTTATTCGATTTTATAACTTAATAATTACATTTTTTATATATCTGTTCAACACAGAGCCTCATGAGATTTGTCTCATGTTTTTAAAATATTCTAGGGAGAATTTGGGGATTGCTGGGTCATCTGTTTCTGAAAGTATATCATTTCTGAATAGGTAATACCCCGCCGCCCCCATATAATTAGAGGCTTTTCTATGAAGGTGTTTTTCATGGCTTCTAGAATCTAGTTGAGACTCACTTGAATGTTTAAGGGACATAGACTCTACCAGCAAATTAAAAAAAAAAAACGCAAGCTGGGACAATTATATGAATAATTTGCTCTTAAACTCCATTCCTCTGTTATCTAGGATGTATATAATTATCCCAGTTTCAAGTCCACACCTTGGTTTGGAAGTTTGTTCAGGCTGAAGGCAACACAAGAGTGTTTAGGACGCAGAGTACTCCATAGCCATAATGGTGAACCTATGGCACGTGTGCTTCCGTGAGTGTGCCCAGCCTTCTGCAGTGACGTCACGAGTTGTGCGAGTTGTTTTTTTCTAAACTAAAACCTCACTATCCAGGATTAATTGCAGTGTTGGCACTTGGTGATGAATAAGTGGGCTTTGGGTTTTGAGTTGCAGTTTGGGCATTTGTCTCTAAAAGGCTTGCCATCACTGGTCTACAGTTTTCTTGTGATGCCTTTGGTTTTGATACTGGGGTAGTCCTGATTTCATAAAACGAGTTGAAGAATATTCCTTTCTCTTGCATGTTTTAGAAGAGTTTGGGAAGAACTGGTATGAATTCTTTAAAAGTGTAGTAGAATTCATCATTGAACCCTTATAGGCATAGGGATTTTAGTTTTGTTTTTGTTGTTTTTGCGGGGTACTGGGCTGAGGATCGAACTTGGGTCCTTGCTCTTGAGAGGCAGGTGGCGGAACCCCAGGTAATGGGGATTTTCTTTGTGGGTAGTTTTTTGATTGCTTATCCTATTTCTTGTTATAACTCTATTCAGGTTTTTCCTTTCCTCTTGAGTCATTTTTGGTAGTTTGTATCCTTTTAAGAATTTATCCATGTCACTCATCTAAATTATCTAATTTGTTAACATATTCATATGCAAAGTATTTCTTTACAGTTCTTTTTGTCTTCCATTATCACTTGTTGAACATGTAAATCAAGGCTGTGATGATATTTAGAGCCAGTGTACTATGGTGGAGCTGACTGACAAAGCAGGAAAAGATATTCCTTAATACTAGATAGACCGCTAGAAACAGCAATTGAATTCTCACCTAGGTGCTACCACTTCCTAACTGTATTTTTGCTGAAAGCTGACACAGTGGTATGTATTTACGTTAATCTATAGATGTGCATTTTACTTTTAAAGTTTTTTCTCATTGAGAAATTTTGGAAAATCTAGAAAACCAACTGGAAATAAATAATATTCACTCATCATTCTACTTCCCATAGATAACAACTTCCAGGTGTCCCAACCCCCACCTTTGGTACAATTACTGTAGAGTTTTGATCAGCCTAAATATTGGTTTATTGTAGCCTCATTTGCTGCATTATGTTATGAATCATTTTAGTCATTGCTATTTCATTTAATGGATAGGCCATAACATATTTAAGTATTCTTCTAATATTAGATCTATTTTTTAAAAGAAAAAAAAAGAATACAAATAACACTTCAGTGAATTTCTTTATGCAAAACTGTTTCCTTATTTTGCATTGTTCCCCAAATCAGGTGATTTTATATGAAATTACTGTGTCAAGGGCTATGAATATTTTCAAAGTTCTTGATATAAAATAATAGCTATTATTTCCTGATTACTAACTGTATCCGAAAGAGTACTCAACATATTCTGCATAATTTTACTTACTTCTTGTAATAAACCTGAGTAAAGTATTATTTCTTTTTATATAATTGAAGCAACTTATTCTTAGCGAGGTACGTACCTGACAAGGTTATACAACTTTTCAACTGCCAGAGTTGGGGTTTGAGTTCATGGAATTCTGAATAAAAAATGTTTTGGCTGTCAGCCATCACACAGTTTTATGCTACCTCCTTTCATTTGCAGAGTGCTTGTATGGTCAGTCGGCCCCTTTTACACACATTTCATCTTTACACCCTTAGGAAGGGTCATTCTCTGCAGAAAAGGAAACACGCTTTGAGAGGCAAAATAATTTGTGGAAGAACACAGGAGTGGTAGCACCAAGGTGAGAGTTCGATTGCTGTTTCTAGTGGTCTGTCTACTATTAAGGAATTTTTTTCTTGCTTGGTCATTCAGCCCCACCGTAGTACACTGGCTCTGAAATATGGCAGCTTTGAGAAAGAGTAGCCTACATATAAAGTGAGCATTATCCTCTTCTTGTGGGGGAACCCACCTCCCTTCTAGAGAAATGGCATTGATCTTGTATTACTATTATTATTATTACTGTTGTTATTTTACTTCTTTTGTGATACAACAGGTGAAAGAACACTAACTGTAATTATTGAGTTTCTACTACATTTTTTATTTCTGAGCAAAATTTTGGAAGGGATCTCTAATGAGTCTTATTTTATAGATGAGGAAACTGAAACTTGAATTAAAAAACTGTCCAAAGTTATGCATCAGTTGGTGGTTGAACCTGAATTGGAGCCAGATCTGACAGATTTCAAAGTTCAAGTCACTTCTGATATGCTACTCTGACTTGGATAATTGGAATTTATCCACATAACAGAAATTAAACTTTGCAATTTCGTTCTCCTAAACTTCATTCTGCACTTAAAATTTTATGCTGATGGATTTTCATTTAATAGTCTATTGCCTCTTCCCCCCTTGGAACACTATGAGAACACTAATATACTTTCTCTTATTTCTTCCTTGAGATTGCTGAGAAATGCCTTTATTCAATTTATCTGAGTGCTAAGGGAGCCGGCAAAGACTGTACCTCTTTGGCCTTGAAGTCTGGTACTTAAGCTATGACAAACAAAATTTCTCTAGTGGAGACTGTTGTTATTAAGAGCATTTATTCTTTATTTTTTTAACCAAAAAATACTAAATTACAAACCAAGTGTTTGTTTAATTCTTGGTAGGATAGTTGGTAAACATCTAGTTGATTTGGTTGTTTAAAAATCTAACAATTAAATCATTCACAATTGCTTAAAAGACCCTTTCTGGCTACCGCCAGCCCATATCCTCTTCCCTTTCACTCCCAATGTTAAGTCCTATATTTCAATTCAGAACCTTCATGGAAAAACAAAGAATGACATTGTTTCCTTCACCTAAAGTGTTCCCTAGAGAACTTTCTCAAAGTTTAGAGAGTCTATTGCTATTCTACTCCGTTATTGGCTCTTTCCTCATTTATAATTTCCATTAAGCAGTCTTTACTGGCACTGTGGGATATAGAGGAAATCACTATGAGCTGGAACCTCTCATAATTTCCTCCTCAATGATATTCTGACATCAGAGAAGATGCTTTTTAAAGCCCTTCATCACTCAAAGATTAATCTGTGTGTTCTGTATCTGTGGGGGAAGGGGTGATGGGGGATCCTTGCTTTCCCCTTCTTCCTCTCCTGCTCACTCCCCTAGTTGTTGCCCATCAGTGCTTTGACAAGCTTATACTCAAGTAACTTTCCTCTTTCTTTTCTTTTTTGTTAAGATACATGTTTTCTCGTGCCATTTTGTTTTGTTTTATTTTCTCTGCAATTTAGCACTTTTGAAAATTATAAATCTACAAAGGGGATGAAAGAATACTACAGTATAATGAACACTCCTATGACTAGATTCACCAATTGCTAACATTTTGCTTGCCTGCCTGCCTGCCTTCCTTCCCTCCCTCCTTTTCTCCCTTCCACTCTCCTTCTTTTCCTTCTCCTCCTTCTCCTCCTCCCTACCCTCTTCTGCTGTCTCCTCCATGTGATAATAAGCTACAGACATTATAGTTTCCTCTATAATATCTTCATCATGCTTCTCCTAAATGAGGGATATTCTCTTATATAACTACAATACTAAATCACATTGGAGAAATTTAACATTGGTAGAGTAACATTATTTACATATAGATAACATTACATTCAGAATTTTCCAGTTGCCTATAATTTCTGTCTTCTGCCTCATCTATCTCAGCTCATAGAAAGTAATGTGACAAGCTCTTAAATGACCTCCAAGTCCAAAGGAACATGTTCAGTACTAATTTTGCTTTAACTTCCTGGCAGTACTTGGCACTCTTGCATACTTACTTCTTAAAATACTCATTGTCCTTGGTTTCAATAGCAACACATTCTCCTGGTTTTCTTTTTTAGGTCTCTGCTTAAACTGTTTATGCAGGCTCTGCTTTCTCCCCACTTTTAAATGTTGGAGTTCCTCTTGACCCACTTATTTTGTCACTCTAATGCTCTCCCCCAGATGATTTTAACTCCATGGCTTCAATTATCAATATGTCAAGATTGCTAAATCTTTATTTCAGTCCAATTTATGTGCTATAATCCTGGTTTATAGGGAATCACTTTTAAACGAGTACTTTTCTTTGTAAAACTGTTATCAGCTACTTAGGCTTATATGCTCAGGTTCATTTGCTCAATGCTGACCAAATCAAAGGAAGCTAATATTTAGGTAAAAAGGAAAAAGGATTTATTCAAAGCTAGCTCTGAGAT